GTTCCATTTTAGGGAAACAGGTTGCTCTTGCTCTGTCTACAGCCTTATGGGGGAGACTCCACATCTTTGTTCGTCCAAAGTATTGGTCCTAGGAACCAAACTGAAAGTGCCTCGAAAAGGACCTTTGCAGAGAGATTGGGGGTGGAAGGGGGAGAATGTCAGGTGGAATTGACTTGTGCTCTTGTAAGGTAGAAACAAAACATTGAGGAATCTTATGAAGTGTTCCCACTCTGTCCTGGACTTGGTCTCAAGGGAATGGTGGGCAAGAGAAGGCCTTGGCTCCATATCTGCTGGTTTCAGGGCTGGAGAGCGGGCGTTTCCTTCTTTCTCTGGAATAGGGTGCTGAATGGGAGGCCAGGAATGTGCATCAAAGGGTACAAGAGATGATTCTAGAAACTCTGCTCTTGATAAGTATAGCCTGGCCAGCATGCAGCCTGGTACTCTAAGAGATAAGTTCCTTGAGAGCAACTAAAAAGAGCATGAATATTTTGTGCTGATTTGGAAGAGGTAAGGAGCATGCAAACTGATGGAACGAAGGTCAGTAATGTAGATGCCAGAGAGTGCAAGTCAGAGTCTCCATGGGATTTGGGATTCTCTATAACTCCAGTAATTTTTTTTTTTTTTTTTTTTTTGAGACAAAGCCTCGCTCTGTTGCCCAAGCTGGAGAGCTGTGGTATGATCTTGGCTCACTGTGACCTTCACCTCCTGAGTTCAAATGATTCTCCTGTCTCAGTCTCCAGAGTAGGTGGGATTACAGGCACACATCATGCCTGAATAATTTTTGTATTTTTAGTAGAAATGGGTTTCACCATGTTGGTCAGGCTGGTCTCGAACTCCTGACTTAGTTGATCCACCTGCCTTGGTCTCCCAAAGTGCTGGGATTACAGGCATGAGCCACTGTGCCTGGCCTAACTCCAGTAATTTTTAAGGAATATCTATCAGCTTTGTTTTCCTCATCTTTAAGATGAGCATGGAAAGAGAACTTATCTTGTAGGCCTGTTTTGAAGATTAAATGTGATACGGCATATATACCCTTGCTTGCTGCATAACAAGATCCTAATAAAAGCCATTACTTCTATTATACAAGATACTTTGCTAGATTATTTTAATTAAGTGTACCAATTAGCATATTTATTGTGAAGTTAGTATTGATATCTTATTATTTTATGTCATCTTTATTTTAATAAGAAAATGGATGCTCAGAGAAGTGAAGTCAGTCATCCAACATCAACAGGTAGGTGGCGGAAGTGCTGGGGTTAAATCCCAGAACTGGTTTCCATCCCATGTTGTACTTCCCCAATACGCCATTTTGCCTAAAACCTAGACTTGGATGTTAATGGTCTGAATTCTTCACAGCATCCAACACCACGAAATGACCTTAGTGACACCAATAAATAAACGTTGAATTAAAATGGATTTCAGCCTCCTGGGCCCAGGATTTCTTGATGTTTCTTTGGTGTTTGGGAGCACACTATATTTCTGCAGCCTCAGGATGGCTTATGTACTCTCTGGCCTGTATTTGTTCTTAGTACCCCTGGTTTGAGTTTACCAGAAGCCAGTGTGAGATTCAGGGACCAGTGGGTACCATCGAAGACAGATAATGGTCATCCGGTGGGAGGTCCTGTCTAAAGCGAAGCTGTGCTTTGGGCCCAGATACTGACTCCATGTGAATGCAATGGGTCTTGTGTGTTAGGAGGACAAGAATCCAGGAATCGAAATTCAGTTATAGAAATTCAGAAAAGACAGATATACCTGAAAGCCCTTTCCCTGCCCTGCCCTTTCCAGAGCTCTAGGCAGGGGTGGAAGAGCCCCAGCCAAGGAGCTGAGCTATAAGCAATTTTTGATCCATCTGTTCAGAGTGTGCAAAGCATGGTGTTACCCCATGCAGAGACCACTTGGGTTGTTTGCCAATGAAAGTTTCAGGGCAATTCTTGAAACAGGGAGCTAAGCTGGGGGGCTTGGCAGGGGGCAGACTCCACAAGAAAAGGCTTATTCGATCTCTGTGAGGGCACACTCAAGATAGGAGGGAGTCAGCAGGCCCAGCTGAGAAAATTCAATCTCAATCTCCTCTAAAGACACATGCTTTTTTTTTTTTTTTTTTTTTTTT